TTCTGGGTATCCCTGAAGTTGCCTGGAATGGTATGGGCAGCATGTGGATTATCCTGGGGCAGGTCATGTGTCATGATGCCCTGTCTATTCTCATGAAAGGTGATTTGTCTCATTATAGTTTCTTTTTTTGTTGTTGTTATTCAGCTGTTTACTTTATATTTAGGTATATTTATTTATTGTATATTTATTTGCCCTATTTATTGACTTTAAGGAAAAAGTCTCTTGGCTAATCCTTCTACTGTAATTTGTATATATAACCTTTTTTTTTTAATTGTTTATGGAAACTGATATTAAAGTCTGATTTGATTAATCATAATGTTGATATGAAAAGGCTTCTGTGTATGAAATTCTAAACTCAAAGCTTCATTATCTTAGTTGCCACAACCAAAAATATTCATATTTGGTAATGAGAACATACTCTCTCTCTGCCTCTCTCCCCCAGCTCTGGTCATCTATACGTGGGTAGCCATCGGCGTGATTGTGATTGGGGTGTGGCTGCTGTTCGACCCCATGATGCGACCGAACAGGCAAGGGCCTAATGAGGGTAGCTACCTTGTTGAAGGCGGTGCTTTAGGGTAGGCTTGTGTTCCTTTTATCTTTTGTTCCTTTAAGTTTTTTAGTTATTTATTTTATCTTTTGTTTTTATTGCTGTTACCATTATTATTGTCATTGTTGTCCTTGTTGTTAATTATTATTGATTATTATTGATGTTATTATTATTGATTTTTAAAATTATTATCATTATCATTGATGATGATATTATTATTATAATTATTATTTTATTATTATTATAATTATTATTTTATTATTATTATAATTATTATTTTATTTTTATTATAATTATTATTCTATTATTATTATAATTATTATTTTATTATTATTATAATTATTATTTTATTATTATTATTATTATTATTATTATTATTATTTTATTATTATTTTATTATTATTATTATTATTATTATTATTGTTTTTTTTATTATTATTATTATTATTATTATTATTATTATTATTATTATTATTATTATTATTATTATTATTACTATTGTTATTATTATTGTTGTTGTTCTTGTTGTTGTTAATATTGTTGATATTATCATTGTTGTTGTCACATTTGTTCATTGTTTAACCCAATGCCACGGGGAAAATGCTGTGCTCGTTTTTTATATTTTTGTGAATTGCCTCTGCATGTAGATGGCTCTGTTAGTGCTTAGCCACAAGGGAGTCAATTAGTAGACCTTGTGACCTTACCTGATTTCCCCTTTCCTTGAATTGGTGGATAAAACTTTTTTTTACTAATGCTACATTTGTTGTAGACATTATAATTACTATAATGTTATAGCTATTAGTAACAGCAGTATAAGATAACGTAAAATATTTTTGAAAAATCAATGGAAAAGGGTAAATCAGTGAGACATGCAGTACTCGTAACTGGCTTATCTCTAATGTAGCCATCTCTGTAAAAACAAAGTTAACCCATTGCCACCGGGGATGACATGTACGTACATGCCATGCCCACTGTGAGTCAACTTGTTCGATTGTTTTTACACATAGATGGCTACACTTGTACTAAGTATCGAATGAGCCAATTATGAGTACTGCCTGTTTTGCACGTTCACCCTTTTCGTCGATTTACGAAAATATTTAACGTTATCCTAATTTAAAAATAACACCATCTATATTTATAGCACTAGTAAAAATACATTTTTTCCCGCCAATTTAAGGAAAGGTGAAATCAGGACTAGCATATCCATCTATGGACAGAGATATTTCACAAAAATATAAAAAATGAGTACAGAATTTTCCCCATTTTTTGTTCATTTTCCCCGGCGGCAATGGGTTAATAAAATAAATGCAAAGTGGGCATGGCATGTAAGTACATGCCATGCCAGGTGGCATTGGGTTAATAATTATTATGATTATTTTTATGATTATTATTATTATTATCAGTATTATATTTTGTGTTACTATTTTTATTATTTTATTTTATTTTATTTTGTTTTGTTTTGTTTTGTTTTATCTTATCTAATCTAATCTTATCTTATTTTTTATTTTATTTTATTATTAATTTATTTTTATTTTTAATTTTTAATTTCTAATTTTTGTTTTATTTTTAATTTTATCATTATTATCATTGTTATTGTTATTATTGTTATCATCATCATCATCATCATCATCATCATCATCATCATCATCATTATTATCACTATTATCACTTTTATCATTGTTATTGTTATTACTATTATCATTGTTATTGTTATTATTATTTTTGTTGTTGTTGTTATTGTTGTTATTTATCATCATTATTTATGATTATTATTATTATTGTTGTTGTTGTTGTTCTTGTTTTATTGTTATTGTTATTATTAATTTTATGATTTTCTTTTTCATTATTATTATCACAATCATTGTCATTATCCCTATTGTTATTGTGATTATGAATAACATTATCATTTGTTAAATCATTATCAAAATAGCATTATTGTAGTTACTGTTATTGTTCCTAATATTTTTGCATTCTGTTATGGTAAAGTAGATGTGATGATGAGACAAATAATTGTAATGTGTTGCTCCTTTTTTTTAGACTTTTACTTTGCTTTGAATTTTGAATGTACAGTATCATTTGGATTGCTTCAAATTAGAATATCTGTAGTTCATATAATCTTTGGTAATTATATGGTTTCATCAGCTATGAAAATTAATTTTTGGAGACTTAATATCACAAGAAGGAGTAGCATATACTAATAACTGCATCTTGAAATATGGCTCTTAGTATCTTTTTCTTTGGGGGGGTATTTCTACCATCAGAACTCACTACATCCAGTTGTGGGAGAAACGCTGTCGATTCCTGTGTTGCTTGACATCTAGGGATGAGAATAGCTCAGAAGCCTTCAAGAATGTTGCAGGTATGGCCAACTTAGAGGACAGAATTTAGAGATGCTCTTTCTTAATATATTGTCAGAAATATTGGTATTTCCTACCCATAGAATGGAGGATTGATGATTTTCAATGCTAGAGGAGTCCTCAAGACAAGAGAGAGACCAAAAGTCATGATAAGCCTCTTCCCTTTCTTTCCAGATGTATTTGCCTCACTGTTTGAGGAGAGTGACCTTGTGGCCTCAGATGTGGCTGCAGCCCTGGTGCTCCTGCGTCTCAAGAGGAAGCAAGAGGAACGCCAAGAGGAAGCCATTAGGAAAAATAACCTTCACCTGCCTCTAAGTCGCTCCTCCACAGCAAGCATTGGTAAGACATGACTGGTTGTGAATAACTGGCAAAAAGAATGTAATAACAATATAAAACTAGAAAGAAAAGAACTCCCAAAATATCATTTTTGAAGTGTAAAAAAGGAAAGGTTATTTCAACCAACAGGTGCCCTGCAGAGTGAAGGTGCATTACCCCACCAGCAATCCCCTCGGCCGGAATGGATGAAAGTGGGCAGTGCTTACCACTTCATGAAGTTTGCCTTGGCTTCCTATGGCTGGCCATGGTTTGTGTATGACCGTTTCTGTCAGGCTTGTTGTTCCCTCTGGAAGCATCTACACTGCTGTGCAAACTGCAGGTATGTCTGAGGATTGTTGCTTTGATATGAGTATTGCTCAAATATAAAGGGAGAAGGAAGGATGGATTAAGGGAACATTTTGGATAAAAAGAGGTGATGCATGCCATGGGCTGGGTATGTGTAGGAGTATGTATATCTATGTTTCTGGATTTATTTATTTGTTGTATTTTTATTTAAATCTATATTTCTAGTGATATGTTAATATGTAATGCATTTTAACATTTTGTTCATTATGCATGGGTCTGAGTAAAGAGGAATCTCTTTCTAAATGATCTTGATATTTGTATTACAGGGCAGGCCCATCCCTTGATGCAAAAGACAACTGTTGCCTATGTAATACAGCTGCACTGAAAGCTATAACAGGGCTGGATCAAGAAAGCATTTCATACATCACATTCCATAATAAGATTTATGAAGTATGTATTTTCAGTGTTTGTTTTTCTCTGTGAAAGACCATATGAGAGTATTTCATGGTATTGGTTTTGCACTGATTTTGTTACCAATAATTGCTATATATTTTTTGTAGGTTCCATTTTTCGTTGCCATTGACGATGAAACAGAGCATGTTGTGGTGGCCATCAGGGGGACATTGTCTCTTCAGGATGCTATTACAGACCTAACGTGCCAGTGTACAGAAGTAAGTTTATCAACATAGCTCCCTTTCTCTTTCCCTTTATTTCCTTTTCATGGAATCTCTCCCCCTCACTCTCTTTCTCATCTGTTTTGTACCAAATTGTCCTAATATTAAGTTGAATCATAGTCTAGTCTTTTGGACTTCATACCATTTGTCTTTGACAAGGTTTGTTTAAATGCAGATTCAGACCCTTATTTGCTTGTCACACCTATAACTGGCTTAGACTGCCAGGGTCATTTATTCAGTGATATCCCTTATGTTTACATAACCATTTTTATAGTTCTACCGTAGGTATACTAAGCACTTGATTGTTTATACCAGTGTGGTATTACACTGAATTACTGATTTTGTGTAATTTTGTTTCATAGGAAGTGAAACCAAGGCTTTTGTTATATTTTTAGACTGAATATGGCAAGATCTATACACAGATACAATCTATTGTTGTTGTGGTGCAGCTGGAAGCAAACATAGATACTAGGAGCAGCACCTCTCTCCCAACAGGTGGAACTTTATCATCTTACATTTACCACTGCTGCATTTGTATTTCCTTCCATCTTTTTTCTTGTTAATGTGACTCATATTTCACTGGTGACAAGATGGGGAAACAATGGAAACATTTTAGGCTGGCTGGCAGTGGGTATTGAAGACAGCCAGGAAGGAAAAAATCTTGGCCAGGGAAATGTATAAAATTCCCCTTCATCTGTCGCATAAAGTTGGCGAAGCTAGATATGTTGCAATGCTCTCATTATAAGCATGCCTGGAGCTGCTGCTGCTGTTAAGTATTTGGCCAAGTTTCTTTGGCTGTATCTCATACATGTCACATGAACCATCTTCACCAGAGGATTCAAAGAAGTTATTTCTGTAATGGATGATTAGAGTGACACTGATTCAATAAGTATCAAGTCATCCAATTTTATGCTGTATTGAAAGTAATGAGGGTATGACATGTGACCAGACATATTAACCAATAAGTATATGACCTTACAATGTAATCTATAGATCAAATTTTCTGATGAATTATTCCAACTGATAAGTTCATGTTCATGTTGAATATTCAACTAAAGAAGAACTATGCAGGAAAAATACCTGCCATCCATGGCATGGCCTTAGTTCATCATGGCAGAAATACATACCATTTGTTGTGTAGCTTAATTCACAGTAGCCAGCATGCACGTTGTCTGTGGCACAACATGTATTCATTCTGACAAGAATACATACCATCTGTGGAATAGCTTTTATTGTAAGAATATATGCCATCTAGAGTGTGGCCAAAATTCCTCATGGCAAGAACATATGACATCAATGCTGTGACCTAAATTCCCTTTTAAAATGATGATAAGGTAAGCATATGCTGACTGACGCACAGTCTTTACCTATAGGTCACTACCTCCCAATGTGTGTTAAGAATGGTTGTGGCCCTAGCCACCCATGGCATCAGAGAAGCTTGAACCCCTGAACACTGAATATTACTTGGCCATGTTAACCCATTGAGCCATTGAGTAATCATATTTACTAAGGAAAGAATAAATAGTTTAGTCCACATAGACAGTGATAGAAGTAGACAACCTTTTGTGTTTAGAGTGGAAAGCACAATAATGATTTATTTTCGTTCCTGCAGGTGGAGGGTGCGGGGCTTCCGGAGGGTTGCCTGGCTCACAAGGGAATGGTTCATGCAGCCAAGTTTGTTCAACGCAAACTAGAGGAGACAAGGGCACTGAGGGAAGGCTTGGCATCACGTCCTGGGTATGGGGTTGTCATCACAGGTAGATTTTCTTGTTTCCCTTTTACTTTCTTCTTGGGTTTTGATTGTTCAGTGTTTTAGTGATAAGAGTAATTGTAGTGTTTGATTCATTATGTAGAATTAGCCTTCTTTAGATTGCTGTTGCTATTTTATTCATTCTTATTGTTGTTATTATAATAAAAGTAATAATAATAATAGTAATTTTGATAGTAATGATAACATGATAATAATAGTAATAATGATGATTATAATCATAATAATGATAATGATAATGATAAAAATAATGATAATGATGATAATAAGAATACTGTTCCAGCAGAAAGGTGAGGAATCATAGGACTTCCATTGAATGGTTGTGTGTCTACCAACTTTCCATGTTACCATCCATGCAAGTTCTCAGATCACATAATGTTGGTATTTGGCAACTTGCCCTTAAGTTCCTAGCACCACAGATTGTGGTCAGTCTAGCATGCTGTGTCTGTCATGTCTTATGGAACTCTAGTGTATTTCAGTTTGTAGTGGTGGGACTATCAAGATTTGCCAGGTACCAATATAATAAAATCTTAGCATTTGGTAGTTTGGCAGACTTGGAATGTGGACAGACACCCAACCACTTTCAGATTCCTTAGACTTTTTGTGGGTAATGTCATTGTAGCTGCATTTTTGCTGTGGAGGACTTTACACAATACTTAAGGAGGAAATGGGTTAATCCCTTATATATATATCTATTGTGTTTGCAGGCCATAGCTTGGGTGCTGGCACAGCAGTAGTCTTGGCAGCTCTTATGCGACCACAGTTTCCCAACCTCAAGTGCTTTGCCTTCTCTCCGCCAGGTGGGCTATGCTCAAAGGAATTTGCCCTGGCCACTCAGGTAAAATGCTGTGTTGTGGGGAAGGAATTAAGCTCTTTTGTAGATGATGACTGTGATGATTATTATTATTTATTTACTTTTTTTGTTTCTTTTCTTCTCTCTCTATTTTATTTTTGTTCCCACAGTTCTCTTTACCTCACATCTTTTTTCACTTCTTTATTGTTTAATCTCTGTCTTGCATTTTTTTGCTATTTTCTCTTTTTCTCTCTAATTTCCTACAATTCTCTTGTTCTCACACATCTGTCTTTTTTGCTTCTCTTTATCCTCTCTTCTCTCTTCTCTCTTCTCTCTTCTCTCTTCTCTCCTTGTGTGTAGTATTTCAGGTTCTTGTATATACAGTAGTTAGGAGGATGTTTACAACTCACAATGCTTCTTTGTTCTTGTGTATGTCTTTCTGACAGGCATGGAAAACCTCAGTAGGGTTCATTTGATACAACTGAGCCACGGCAAATGCTCCCTATGAACTGTTACTCCTCTGTACATAGTAGTGAATAAGTGGTAGGTGTACCTAACAAAAAAAAAAATATATAGTCAAAATTAACTTCAAAGATTAAACATGCATACTAATACTCTTAATGTGCACAGGATACTCTTTTTTCCTCTAGGATATTCCTTAATTTTCTTCATCCATATTTGAGAGAATTGGCCTTCTTCTCAAATTGGTGGTTGTCAAGGTCAAAGTAATAGTGATACTT